TATATAAATATAAATATATATATATATATACATATATATATACACATATTATACATATATATATATATTTACACAAACACATATGCACGCGCAATTTTTTTTTGTAGTTTGGATTACACTTCGCTGCGATTATCCTAATAAAGACGCAAAAGAGCCTGCACAGTTTTCTCCTCTCTCTCTTTCTTTCTTTCTTCTTTTTTTTCGGAGCGGATTCGCATGTAATGTAAACGGGGCAACACGTTTACTTTAGTAATATATGAGGATGCGTGGGCACGCGCGCGCGCGGGCGCGCACACACACGCAACACACATACGCGCACATGCATGACGTGCGGACGAGTCCAGCAGCGAGTCTGAATCTCGTGCCTCGAAAAAAAGAAAAAAAAAGGAACGCACATGTTGCGATGAATGTAATTAGAGAACGTTCGTCATGGGAAAGGCGGACGGACCCATGATTTCTCTCGATTGTTTTGGGCCATCGTTTCCACCCCCCCCCCCTCCACCCCTTTTCGTTAGGACGACTTGAGATTTCCCCGGGTACGGACCCGCTACTCTTAACTCGTCTCTGGACGTAATTATACATATACATATATATCTTTATTTCTATCAACATGTACGTGAAGTATGTATGTGTGTACATATATATCCGTTTTCCGCGATCATTCTATCGTTTCTAGTTCCTCGGCACTCTCCGATTGTCATTCTGTCTCTTTCTCTCTTTCTTTCTCGCTCGCTCGCGCATAATAGGACTTACTAAAGGATTAAAAATCGTAACGGGTAATCTAGCAAACACTAAGAACGATAATATACGTTTTTTAAATACATATCTTTCTCTCCTTTCTGCATTGTGTACTATGTTTCCTTTAATTATATCATGTAATTACATTATAACGTTCCATTAGGCGTTACATATATTAATAGAAAGATAAATTCATTAGTGTCGTATTTCCTGTAGTAAAATATATAAACGGTAATGTAACATGAGCGTGTGGTGTGTCCTCCAATACCTTTCCGCAAGAGCTATATGTATATATATGTATAGTACATAGTTACGTATCAACCGTGGACCTTAAAGCGCTTAGTGAAAATCAGGGGCTGTTTCGATCGACTAAAGACGAAAAACAAATTGCTACGAGAGAATAATATTATTAATCGACGATCAGGATCTTGTGAGGGCGAAGAACTCGGCTCCTTCGAGCTTCTGTGTCTGAATTCGATTCGTGGAATCCGAGAGGAAGGATCAATCGCGCAAATGCAAACATCATTGAAGTTTATATTTTAAAAGGAACCGATGTATCATTTTACAAATTAGATCCGGATTTGTTCTTTATCACTATTTTCTTATAACAGTCTTACGTAATGCATTTTAATACGTGGCGTTTCTTTAAAATTCATAAAATTCGTAACTGCTGCGCAATTTTCTCTCACATCGCAAAATAAATTTTACACATCTCGGTTATTTGATGTTAGAACGAATTCAACGTATGAAAAGACCGAAGCCTTTTGCCCTTTCATTATGTATCATGTATTTTGAAAATGCGTGCAACATTCCCGTTTTGATCCTTCCCCTTGCTCGCAGTTCATCAATTCATCAGCACGCGCGTCTTAACGTAGATGCATCTTCATTGATGTGTGCATGAAGGTACATATACGTTATTCGGTTTTCCAATTAGCGCCTCTTCCGTTCTTACGAAGATAATGATAACATTATGCAGCCTGAAGATCGCGGCACTTTTGGTTATTATATACTCGACAAAAATTTCCACCCCATACATTTATTCAAAATGTATATATATGTATATATATATATCTATATTATATTATACATATATACAGTTATATATACATATATATATGTATATATTAATTTCAACATATCCGAATTTTATATCATTTTCCATTTTCTTTTGATTTAACGTACGAGTTATTAAAATGCTGCCGACTTGGAAGCAAAAAAAATTCGTTCGACTCACATTTCTCGTATCATTTACCCTTTTTTTTCTTCTCACGCTAGTATATAAATTTTGATTTAACGCACAATCTATAAACAAATAAGTTTTCACGTTGATAAACTGCAAGTTCGTCGAGATTATTCCCGAGACACATATAAAACATATGTATTATGTAAATTCGTATATTATTATCTTTACTATTTCAGACGTAATCGACGATCTATACAAGTTGCAATTAACGCTCGTTTATCGCCGAGTAAGCAACGTAATCAACGTTGTAATAAACGTGTCCTTGATAATGGCAACTAATTCCGAGACTTAACATAGACACGATTAATTATTTCAGTAAGTTGGCACCTATTACGGCCATCCGCGTGAATTTTTTTTTCGCAATTAGGCGCACGTTTAAACCTACATAAATACAATGATTAATAACGAAACGCACTTCCGATATACAAGATTCCCTACGCTAAATCTCCAATTCGCAAGGCGAAGGCGCATGGGCGCGATAGACAAATAATTATTTCTTTTCGCTCATTTTCTTCGATGGTTACATACATAAATCACATATAAAAGAAAACAACGTAATGATCAACAAAATTTAAACAATATATTGATGCTAAAAATATACGCTAGTTCCGATTTTGTAATTTCGATTACTATCAGCCTTGCTTCTTACTACCACCACGCTTCTGAATATTTCGGCGGGCTGCCAGTTGCGATTTGTAGCTATAGTTCTATCACATTAAGGTCCAGTTCCATAACTCACGGTTAACTCTTAACCGAGGTTCAACTTATTCCTCATCTCTTTCCAATTCTAGAATTGGAAAGAGATGAGAAATAAGTTGAATCTCGGTTAAGAGTTAACAGTGAATTGTAGAACTGAGTCTATAAGAGGCTTATTCTGTAACTCTAAACTACTGTAACTGTAGCGTTACAGTGTCGTTTTGTATATGGTAAAAAGCTGCGCAACGACATTGTAACGCTACAGTTACAGTCGTTAAGAGTTACAAAATAGGCTCGTAAGTATCCTCCGATGGCTACGTATTTATCTCTCTCTTTTTTTTAAAGCAATACACTGATATTAACTTTTGATGCCAAAATAACGCGGGTGAAGCATAAAAATCATTTACGAGATGTTATTAAGTCGAAATTCTGAAACAAGTCACCGTACAAATCGATATTTGTTACACATAAAATAAACGTTAATTCGAAAGAAAAGCATAGCCTATTAAAAAAAAAAAAAGGAAATGCCTGTATTCGTACAAATTCGTTGAATTTCTTGTTCGGAGTTCGTTCGCGTCGCCATTAAAATAAAAACGGTGGAAAGCGACGAGGAGGAAAGCGGAATGAGCTCGCAGTCTTTTATAGATAACGGAAGGCTTTTAATTCCGCCGACGATCGATTCATTTCTGGCTCATCTCTGGTAAATTAATTTGTCGATCGATGAGCGCCGCGAGTGGCTTGGATGCGACGCGAAGGGGGAGACACGGAGAGTACGACGTTCGACTTCCACTTAAGAGTATTATTAAAGCTCGATTGTAGATGGAATTTGCGCGACGCGAAGCTGAGTCGGCATTGAAGATATTTTTCAGCGTGAAGAACGCCGAACCGTTAAGTTAATATAACGAATATTCTCTGTTCATCGAAATTAAGATGCAATAAAAAGACTAAAGAATAGGTCGCGATAGATCATTTCGATGATCATGATCATGTAATTAGAATACGGTCATAACGTAATTTAGATTTGTGTCTCTCATCTTTCCAATTACTTTATTATACCTCAAACATGTACAATATCTGACTATATATAACACACAACATTTCTATATTATATATCCATTAATGTCTCTTAATTTACATTGTACAATATCCTACATGTAGGATTTCGTCAAGATTTAGAATTGAACCGAGTGAAAATCCGCCACGCGGCGTGTCGAGTCGATCCAAACGGCGATTTTGCAAACGTCCGATCGACGGATAATTAAGCTCCGTTTATGCTGGAAGAATACTGCCTCCGGAAGCTCGCATTTGCGGAAATACACGGGGCGATGCGAGGCGGCGCGAAATAAGTCGTCGCGGTCGCGATCGAGCGTCCGCAGAGCCTCGAGATACACGAGATATACGCGAGAGGTGTCTGGGAAGAGGGAGAAAGGACAGCGGTGGTAGTAGAGCGATAGGCGATAGGCCGGCAATAGAGGCACTCCGGCCGCGCCGGCGGCTGGATCTCCTTAGCATTAACACGCGATATACCTGAAAAACCAGTTTGCGGGCTTTTTATTAGGCCTTTACTTTCGCTCGCGAACTGAAAGTAAGAGTGAGCGAGCGAGCGAGCGAGGCAAACGAGGCCTGTTAGCGAGCGAGCGAACTAACGGGGTCACCAGTCGATACGGATACGCACGTAAACGAAGACACGCGCATACACACACAATCAACACACACACACCCACCCACAAAACACACACACACAACACACACGCAC